GGGCCGGTGGCCGGGCCGGGGCCGGGCCGGTGCCCGGAAGACAAAAATAGTATATTATGGTGTGGATTCAAACATGTCTGCACACATCTGCGCGACGAGCCTGATAGTGTATTCATGTGTGTCTTTGATAGTCTTCTATTTTTTAGGTTCCACAGGTGAAACATATCTCATCATGATGAAATTGATCAAAAGTTGGCGCGCAAGCGTTGGTTCTAAAAAATGGCTATGCCAGATTCCCGCTCTGACATGATCTCCAACACAAAATTCTCTATAAAATGCTTTGCCAGATCCACCTAGTTTGTTGCTGTGGCGGGGCAAACAGACCCAACCTGGACTTGAAGGCCCGCCTTGGCTTGGGCCCGCAACTGGGTCTCTAAGAAATGGGGATCCCTTGCCACTATAAAATGCCTTTTGGGTAGTCACCTTGTAGAGAGGGTAGTTGTTGAGAGTTTTGAGAAGACATGAAAAGACATTTTATAAAGGCGGTTCTGGGACTGTTCTTGGATACTTTATGGAACGCCTAGTGATCCCTGGACAAGGCATTTTCTGGAGGCGCATGTCGGAAATGGACGTGTCCCGTTTGGGGATCTGGTTAGTCATTTTATAGAAAAGCTGCGTTCACACGGGCACTTAGAAGATACACCCCCTGCGGAGCGGAGTGGCGTCGCCACGGCGCGCCGAAGCGGAAGTAGTAAGCCACGCACCAACCTCAGGCGGAGATGAAATCAAACCGCACTACAGCCCTCGAACGAATGTTTGCATAACGGCAATGCGGGCACGAATGTTTATGTTTCCTAAAAACTGACAGGAAATAAGTGCAAATATAGATCATTAGATCACCCATCCTTTTTTAAGCTCAGCGAGATACAAGTCTTCGCTTGTTATGCCTATGCCGCAAACCTCAAAAGTCGCATTCCGCAACGAGGTACAAAGTATGACGGCGATGCCTTCTGGCGCGCCCCTCTCACCGGGAACCCTTGCCGTTCCAAACTCGAAAGAAACGTACACAGTAAGCGAAAGCCATCGAATTAAATGCATGGTAGGTGATGGAAACCTTACGGCAGAGCGTCCCCGCTCGCTTGTGCAAACACGGACTTGGTACGCCGACAATTTTGATCTCCGGCGCGACCTTCCGGTCCCACTGCGAACGAGATGTTTTGCTTCTTTTTTTTCTTCCACCCTCAGTTTTTCAGCGGTTCCACCAGCTGGTACTGGAGCTGGACCACCAGTTGGACGAAGATGACGACGATGCAAGCTGGTGCCACGAAGCGCGCCCGGAACCTGACCAACCCCAGGAACCGGAGGAAACCGGAGGACCAAGAGCCACTTTATTCTGCAGCGAAGGTTCATGGCTCCAACTTTGGACGGTTTATATTCTGGCCCGTCGCCAGGGCTTAAGGGGGATCACCACGACGGCAGGAACCGACACAGGCTCAAGTCCACGCCACGGGGGCCCAACATGTCGCTGAGGAGGGGTTGGTGGAGTCGAGCGGGACTGATCAACACATCTCATGCCGACAGACACCACTGGCGGTGTGGGCTCAAGAAGATAGGGATCAAACCTGCAACTCCGAGTGTCATTTTACTTTTGCCTGGAGTATCGATAAAGCGTGGCCGTTTGCAGTGATTATAACGATCGGCCTATTCGAACGATATTGGAACTCAGTCGGGATGTCATGCCTCGTCAACAGGTCCTGAGCACTACGCGTGTCGGCAACCCAGTCCTCATGCCCAGCATCAACCATGCGGCCTGGCCGCCTGGCCAGCAGTCAAAAATATCTGGTGCCATCGACCAGCATTGCGCGGCTCTGGGGATGCACGTTACCCAGGCTCCGTGAAGCAGATGTTGTGCAGCACTTCACGGTCGCAAAGGACCCAGACTGATTGGCTAAGATGTGGCAACCACACTCGGGCTTTAGGGACATGGCCCAGCATTTCCCCCACGCTGCAGCGCGGAAGTGCTTCTGTATCTATCGAGTTGTTCGGTGGGCCACACCATATCACATCGTCGATGTTCAAGGGCTGCAGCTTGGCTTTCTGCAGTTCGCTGTTGGGTTGGTTGGTTCTCAGGAGGGGGGTTCAGGGCTCCATTCCAAAACTCGTGGCTGACTGTATTCACGACAATCGGCTGATATCGCCACGGCCGACAAAAAATCTTGCCAAACGCAACAGCATCACCGGCAACCAAAGTGTGGGCCTTGGTTTGAGGGTTGCCTTCCCTTTGTGTGGCCTCGACCGCGGACAGCATCTGGCCACGCTTGCTGGTGAAAAATTCTCCCTTTTTGTTGATAACGAATCACCCCACCTGATTGCAGGCCGGCGCTGCCGACGACCTGGCTTTGATTCAAACATCAACGAAAAATCTATGCTGCAAAGAGCCCCGAGGGGGGTTGGAACAAGGGCAAACGGCAAGTGCGAGAATTTGGGCAAACGTTTTGAGGCAAAGGTGGGCAACAGGAGGGAAGCAAACGGAAACCAAAAACTAAACCAAACCGCCCATCCAATGAAAAAAATCCAGCGCCGTTTTGCTTTGGCCTTGGCCATTGGAGCCAAACGTTTCCCGAAGACTCGGCAGCCGCACCTGCAACAGCAATCGCAAAGCAACCCAACGCTGAACCACAAGTGCCTAAAACGTGGGTGAATGACAAAATAGAAATGTTTGAAACGTGGTCCCGTGAAGGTGCGCAACGACAACGTTCAATGCAACAAAACAATGGGTTGGATTGATCCATCATAGCGCCAGTGATAGCTGGCAAAAAATCAGCGCACGAACAATGAAGAAACGCAAAAGACCGCCACATAACCAACACAGGCCGCCTCTCGAGCACCCATGTTTTGTGCTTGAAAGGGGTGTGTCGCTGGTGCCTGGGTGAGTCGCCATGCCGGCTGGGGCGTAAAATTGTACACTGCCGGCTACCCTTGGTACAGGAAAATGTGTTGCCGGCTGCTTCACTGGCAAAGTTTCCAGGCACGGGCCTTGGGCGTCGGCAAATTGAATATTGCAAACCCCATGAGGGGTATGTAGCTGCACATGAGCACGTGGTTCGTCCAACTAGCGTCAGGGTCACTTAGTGGGCCCACGGCAGCCGCACTGGATGGGGGAACCTTACCGCAAAAACGTTGTCACATGTTTAGGTTTGCAGCGCTGTATGTGTTATTTCTCCTGGGGCTGTACGTATATAGCATTGATTTTGCTTGGTGTTTCGCCACGTGTGTTGCAACATGGTAATGTGGTGCGTGGCACGCTGCTTCGCTATGATCAACCAAGGTCCGTTGAACCATAATGAAAACGCTTACGCTGACGGGCCGCGCCCCCATGAATTAAGATCTTGTTACTTTGTCACCGACCGAGCAGAACACAGGGAACCCCCCAAGACACATACGACCATGGCAGTCGACCGGGTATCAGGTGCAAGGAATCACCCACAAGGCATTCAAAGGTGTGCTGTGGAAGCAGGCTTTGGGGTGCCTGGAGTGTGTGTGAGTGCGCTCGGTGGGACCCACAACCTTGGCCCATGGCATCATCGGTCGCTGCAGCATGGCTGCAACATCGCCGGCCAAGCATGGCCGCAAAACACGTTTCAAAGCGAAGGTCTTTGGTGAACTCTGAGGATTGGTGGGCCGCGATGGAGAACAGCATGGACAGCGGATGGACAGCGACGAAAAGAGAGGATCCCCAAGATTCGAGGAGCGAAACCTTACATTGATCTTTCAACAGGCGGGGCAGGCCACAAAAGCGAAGGCAGGCCAGAGGCGAAGTCTGAAGCAAGGCGGCGCTTGGATGGAAGCAAGGACGAGCCACCCGGGCGACCAGCCACCCAGCTCTGGCCCAAAAGAAGAGCTCCGAGGTAGCACCTGCCGTTACCAGCGGCTACCCTGAGTGTTTTTTGGAGGTCAGAGTTTCTCAACAAAGCGCGCCCCGTCAACTCAACAAAGATTATTGGCGACTTTGTGGCCCAGATCATTCTCATCCACAAATCTTGGCATGAACAGCTTTGTGAGTCCAAATGGCCAGGTGTGTTTGTGTGTCCAAATGGCCAGGTGTGTTTGCTGAGGAGTTTTTTTTGCGCCTGCTTTTGAGCTTTAGGCGGGGCTTCGCGGCTCCATGCATTTCAAGTGCACCCACCGAGATGGAGCGTTCCAACGATGCGTGTTCCTAACGAGGCCAGGGGGGGCACCACAAAGTTCAAAACGCTGTGGGAAACCCACTCAACATTGGTTTGCCCCTGTTTTTTGCCGTGAGCATGTGAGGCCTGTCGAGTCCACTTTGACTCAGTTTTCTACATCTTCTCTCATGTCACCAATGGCGCCCAAAATGCGCTCCAGAGTACAGGCAGCCGTGGTGAAGAAGTGGTGAAGAAGTGACGACAGCTTGCAAAAAAAAAGACAAAAAACAACAGTCAACCAACCCCTGGCAATATTGGGACTAGGTCAGCCTTTTGATTTGTAGCGAGGGATGGGGTAGGTACGGTAGGTACAGTCTCCTTGCCTGGCCTGTGCCAGCAGGACTGAAATCGATACATCACAACAGGACAGGTCTGCTTGGAGATGGAGCCCCCGTCCTACAAAAATCCAACGCCCTGAAGTCAGAGGGCGGACAGACACGTTGCCACACTTGCATCGCTGTGGCTACAAGGAGTGATATATAGTGTTCAAACCAGCAAGACATCAACAGCCGTCCAGACCGTGGGTAGAAGCAACAAACACCTGGGTTATAAATCTCAATGTTTGAAAATTGTGGACACTGTGCAGGCCACAACACCTGTCGGAAATCGAGACGCCCAAACACAATGCATTCTAAGCAACTTCAGACCAAAAAACTGGACATCCTTGCATTGAACAGCTGCAAGGGACATTCATGATCAGTGGCCTTCTTGGAGCACATCAAGCACCGTGAAAACCTGCGAAGAAACAAAAAATACTGGTCTGTCAGCACATGACAGAACGGTTGATGCTCTGGAGGGGTTTCGTGCTACCCCAACGCTGCACAAAGCTGCACGCCAGCCGCCACATACATATGCAATTGCCAACATGGCCAAATGCTGAGGGTCGGCCGACAGACTAATAACTACAGAAAAGACCCAAAACTGTATTCTGAATCCAAATTGATTGTCCGGCTGTTACAACCTCTTTTGGCAGCTGCATTGGTCGATCGTCCTTGTCAGCCGTCGTGCTGAAAACCTGGGCCCTTAGCCCGAAGGTCTGCTACATTACGAGCAAGGGCGACACCAACCCATGGCCATGAATTGGGAATACTACGATGATCTTTGAAAATAACATGTTTTTTGAGTCATGAACTGCAATCATGTACGCACTGTATACTCTGCCATTTCGTTTTCAGCAAAACCTTTATCAACATTAATGACATCGGTTCGCGGTAGTGGCAACGCATAACCCATGCAACCTTGGAAACACGACCTTGCGTCGCTTATGCTGTTAAACGGCCACGGGCGAAGGTCTCACAAAATTCATGTAAAAATATGTGTTGTCGTCTTCCGCCGAACAAACACAAATTGAAAAAATGTTGTTTGACCCGCAATACGTGAAACTTTGTTTTATGCATATGGACTGTTTGACATTCATCCTGTGCATTTGGATTGTTTGAGATTAAACACTTTTACAAGCGTTTCATGCACTACACCACCGTCTGCTGTGCATCAACCCCCACCACCGTACATCACAACTGATATGTCAGCACATTCAGGGAAACATCGCACAAAAGCATCATCACCCGCAAATAGAAGGACCGGATAACCCTACATGTTAAGATTGTAAAAACTAGCAATGAGAAGTAGAGACTGATCAGAAAAGAGGACGGAAAGATACCGGACGAAAAATGTGAATGAGATGAGTGGTGTGTGGTGAGTGGTGTAAGATGAGTGGTGTGAGATGAGTGGTGTGTGATGAGTGGTTGAAGATGAGTGGTGTGTGATGAGTGGTGTAAGATGAGTGGTGTGTGTGAGTTGTGTAAGAAGAGTGGGGTGTGATGAGTTGTGTAAGAGGAGTGTGTAAGATGAGTGGTGTAAGATGAGTTGTGTCAGATGAGTGGTGTAAGCTGAGTGGGGTGAGATGAGTGGCGCGTGATGAGTTGTGTAAGATGAGTGGGGTGAGATGAGTGGTGCAAGATGAGTGGTGTGTGATGAGTGGTTGAAGATGAGTGGAGTATGGTGAGTGGTGTAAGATGAGTGGGGTAAAATGAGTGGGATGTGATGAGTTGTGTAAGATGAGTGGTGTAAGTTGAGTGGTGTGAGATGAGTGGCGTGTGGCGTGTGATGAGTGGTGCGCGATGAGTGGTTGAAGATGAGCCGGGTGTGATGAGTGGTGCATGATGAGTGGTTGAAGATGAGTGGGGTGTGATGAGTGGTGTAAGGTGAGTGGGTCGATGAGTTGTGCAAGATGAAAGTGCAAGATGAGCGGTGTAAGATGAGTTGCATGTGGGAGCATCGTTCGTTGCTACTCACCGTCCATTATGGGTGCCTGAATCTAGGTAACAGGTCCTGCGACTTCCTCTCATGCGAGAACCTTAGTTCTTGTCCTGGGGCAAAGCGCACAAACAATATGTACAGTTGGCTGGATCTCAGGTGGAAACCTTAGTTCTTGTCCTGAGGGTGGGCCGCCGCCCTGCCAGCCTTGTATGGTTTACCAGGTTTTTTTTTGCACGGGTGGAGACGCCATGTGTGCAGAGAATGCACAGGTCACCTTGCGCTACTTGAAGGTGAGTCATCGGCCAGGAAAAGAAAACCAAACCAAACAAAGCAGACCAAACCAAAAAAAAACCTGGCCACGACGCGACTCACGTGGGTCATGAAGGTGAAACCAAACAAAAGAGGTGAAACCAGGGGCATCAAATTAAGCAAAAAGGCCTCTCAGTTCAAGTCGTACCGGCTGCGCACGTCTCGACAGTTCAAAGGGCGAGCACCGGTCTTGCGAAAGCGCTGCAATGCCTTTGCGCAACTCGTGCGTTGCGTTGCACTGGGCCTGGGTACCCAGGCTGCATATCTATGATTCCTCATTGCTGAGCTGGAGAGGCTTAGACAACCATTTGACTGGGTCACCACTTGCGAGTGTGGACCATAGGCAGGAGTGCATCGGAAAACCACTGCGGAGGGAGTCTACTTGCGCCAAACAAAAAGGTTCATAGCTTCCAACAGTGCTGCCTGCTGATGGTGACAGCCTGCTCGACGGTTGTTCAGTTTTGCTGCGATCCATTTAGCAGCCACGCACCACTAGATCCTCGCAATGGGAGTCTTTTTTTGCACGGGTGGAGACGCCATGTGTGCAGAGATTGCACAGGTCATCTTGTGTTAGTTAAGAGAGAGTTACGAGCCAGGTTGCGAAAGCAAAGAACCACCAACAAAACCCGAACCAAACACAAACCAAACAAACACAAAACAAATAAACAAAAACCACGACCGCGAAGCAACCAGGCCGTATGTAACTCAAAAGGGGTCCTGTAGACCAAAAAGAGTGAGTAGGGTGAAACTCGGGGCTGCGAATAAAGCAAAAAGGCCTCTCAGTACTGCTGGACAGTGCAAGCTCTGTTCTTCTTCGGTTGTCATCGTTTGTCATCGTACACACTTCTTCATTTAGTGTTGCAAAGCGGCCTGGTATTAGACCGCTGTGCTGGGCGTTGCACTTGGACCGTGCTGAAGCAAAGCGTCCGACGTTGTGCAGTTTACTACGAGGCAGGCATTCCCACGGTGCCGAGTCAACCTTTTCCTCTGCAGAAATGAACAGGCGTGTAGGGGAAAACCACTGCGGATTGCTTCCGATTACTCCAAGCATTCGGACAACAGGATTCAGCAGCGCAGCCTGTGAAATATGAAACTCACTGTATGATGGCCGTTGCATTCTGTTGCATTCTGCAGGTAGCCACTCCTCCCCGGGCGGGGAGGAGGGCAGCATTCTTGCGGCGGTGCGTCCCAAACAGCTTGGCAAAGGGAGAGCACAGAAAGGCAAGTGGAAGTCAACTAGCTTGCAGTCGGTTAGTGGGCGGTTGATGGATGCATCGTGCAATGCCCCTAGTCTACAGTGAAACAAGTGAAACTGTCGTTACCCCATGCAAAAGTCACCAAAAAGACTGTACACTATGTATTCATCCAGGACAGACACTGAGGCGCCCGCCTGGGATCTGTCTAACTAGCCTGTCCCTTTGTACAATTCGGCTCGAACGTCCAGCAGGACTGACACTGAGGTGCCAGCCTGCGATTGGATTGAAAGCTTGACTGTCTTCTCCGTCCGGTGGGAGCATGTTGATCCACTCTGAGGGGGGTTTGAGAAGTTCCAGCCCAGAGGAGTTGAGACAACCGTCTGGGATGCATCTTTCTGTGGCCGATCGTGATGGATGGCTGTCCTGAGGGAGCTCGATATGAGTTAGTGCGAGACAACTCTCAAAGACGCAAGGGGCAAGGATGGCGCCCCGGTATGGCCCTCTCCAAGTTGTTTTAGCTTCTGGTTTGTGAAATGCGCAAAGCTGTGTGCACCCAGCAAAGGCTCGACGAGCCACATACAGCAAGGCTGGTGGGGTATCTACCTCACGCAGCGACGCGCAGTTCAAAAAGGCCTCTCGTCCAATGCGCCTCAGCTTATTGGCAAGGCTGAGCCGCTCCAATTGTGAGCAGTGCGCAAAGGTGGACCCCAAAATCTCACTAATAATTGTTCGTGAGAGGTCTACTAATTGCAATCGTTTGCAAAGCTCACAGGCAGCAGGTCCTATCCAGTTGAAATCCGGTGGCAGGCGTAACGAGACGATTCCAGCCTCCAAGAAACAGCACTCAGGCAGGCAACGTGTCAAGTTGGTAGGATCATACTCAGCTTTCTCAAGGCTAATTTGGCGCAATGCACTGCACTTCTCGAAAGCCCGTGGACGAAATTGCGCCTGAGGAGCTAGTTGATTAGCAACGTCGCCTTGAGTTCCTATCTGCGCTAAGGAGCAGCATTCCTCGAACACACACATTCCGAAATGCTTGCACCCTGGGGCAAGGACGGTTCTGAGTACATAACTTCTTCGAAACACTCCATCTTGTAGGCAGACTACAGTGCTCGGCAGTTGAACCACTTGAAGCCGGAACAACTTTGCCAGGCAGCCTCCATACCTGCTTCGACTTGCACATGTCTGACATCTGCGACATGCGAAAATGCCTGCGGCAAAACTCGATCGATGCCATTGGGCGGGACTTTAATTGCTTTGTCCTAAATCGGGTCAGCTAGGATTTTCCGGGTGTCCTTATGTACAAAATCAAGCTCACATCCGAAGGTACTGCACTCTCCAATGTACGGGAGATTTTCAAGGGCTGCATTTTCAAATTCATTGAGTCTATCAAACTCCTGTAGCTCTATTGACAGTTGGATGTCATCGCCAGCAAACGTGGTCAGGATCAGATGTAGGACTAGCGATCTTTCTTCACTCACCTGCGAGCTGCCTTGTGACGAAATGTCTCCAAACATCCCGAGGATGCCCCGTCCGACTGTCTACTTGAGCCTTAACAGAGAGGCAACAAAAATAGAAAACCGATCACGGAGTGGCTGCTTGAAATGACTAGCACAAGGACAGTGACCAGGGACGGTTACATGGGTAACCGCCCTTACATGTCCTACCGCCATTGAATTACGTGTGGCGACTAGGTGGGACCATCCAATCACTCCCATTCGGGGGCAAATAGTGGGGCCACCAGGGGATAGTAAGCTTGAAACACTCCTCAAAGGCATTAAAGGCCGCATATGGGCGCCTCCACGCACCTCGCTTGCTTCTGTAGTAGGTTAGACAGGAGAGCGCAGTACATTCGCCAAACGCTCTGTGTCCTATGTATCGAAGGTTCCCTGGGAGGACAAGGCTGATTAGGGCCTTGCATCCTACAAAAACCTCCGCTCGGATTTCACGCAAGCTAGGCGGCAGACTTACATTTCTCAGGCTATGACAGTGCGAGAAGGCGTGCATGTGGGCTAGAGATGTCCGCCAGGGTGAGCAGTTTGCAGTTTTCATATGCCCGGTGGCCGATGAAAGTCGCATCCCCCGAATGCCACACGAGTGAAAGCAGCCTTGTGGAAGGCTCACTGGCCTGTAGTGGGTCTGGCCCTTTGGTGGGAAATGTCCTCTGGTGGGAAATGTCCTCTCACAGGAAATGTCCTCTGGTGGGTGTTTGCCTGCCTCTGCACTTTTCGAATCTCAGGCAGGAAAAAATTTCTGGTGGGAAAAGTCCTGTGGTGGGAACTAAGCTCTGGTGGCGCCTGCCCCATCTGTTTTCCAACGCTTCTCTATCTTCCA